AGGACGACTTCGACAGGCGACTTGAGTTCGTCGAGTTGATGCTGACCAAGTTTCAGGAGAACCCTGACCTTATCTGGAATATTGTCTGGACTGATGAGGTCAAATTTCACACATCAGGATCAGTCAACAGACACAACTGTGTGTTTTGGCGGCCAGAGAACCCCAGTGCCACCATTGAATACGATTTCCAGTCCCCGGGAGTGATGGTGTGGGGCGGCATGACGTACGAAGGACTGATTGGCCTGTTCTTCCTTGAAGGTTGTGTCACAGGGGAAACCTACCTAAAGTTGCTGAGGGAAGTGTCATCCCAGAACTTCAGAGGAGAGAGAACTTTGATGAACTGTGGTGGCAGCAAGATGGGGCCCCACCACACTTCGCCAATATTGTTCGGGCGTTCTTGCATCAAGTTTTTCCTCAACGCTGGATTCGCCGTCGAGGGCCTGTGGAGTGGCCAGCCCGATCACCCGACATCACCCAACCAGACTTTTTCCTTTGGGGTTACCTCAAAGACAAGGTGTACGCTAATCCCATTGACAGTGTGGAACATCTGTGTGAGGTGATTGTTCAGGAGTTCAATAAATTTCAGGTGAATATGTGTAGAAAGACATGTGAAAATGTTGCTTTGCGTCTGCAAGCCTGTGTTGACTTAGGTGGTGCCCAGGTTGACCAGCATCTTGAAAATCGATGACTTATGTGTGTGCGATTCCATTTTTGTAACCATTGCAATTGTTAACATTTATCAATAAAAATAACATCTAATCAAAAACTGCCTAATTGAGTCTGGCCCACCCTGTATATGAACAATGTAATAAGTTCATGGAGCAGAGTCCATTTTGGGAAGCTAACAGTTGCTCAGTTGGTCAAGAAATTCCCTTCCTTTTATGGCACTCAAAGATTCATTACCGTATCTACAAGAGGTCACCACTGGTTCCTTTCCCAAACCAGATGAATCTAATCTATTTTCTAACAGTGTTTCTTTAAGACAATTTCCAAGCACAATGATCACAGTGACCATACTATTTAAGGAATAAAATGTCTTTGCCCACTCAGACACTTGGACCGTGGGTTTGAATCTCACTCTGTGTGCATTCTCTCTGTGTTCATGTTGTCCTGTGTAGACAGTAGCCTTGTGACAGGCTGACCACCTGTCCAAGGAGCTCTACCAGCTGTCTATAAGGCTCATAATGTCCAAGCCCTAGCTATGGTTATAATTAGGGCCCGGATTTTTATGACCTAAAAACTATAAATATATGCATGCACTTATGACCCAAAATTATGTCAAATATGACCTAAAAAGTGTAAAATATGACCTTAAATATTAAATGGGACATAAAATTTCACAATTTTAATTAAAATTAAGAATAAAATAATTAAGAATAAAATTAAGAATAAAGATGATGAATATATGATAGTAGGTCCTACTTACCAAATTAGCCCTATTATGTCTCTGAAGGAAAGAAAACTGATGGAATTTCGACATTTCGTACTGGATTAAACCTCATTGCTTTCTTTTTAATACTGATATTTGCGTTCATATTTTAGACAAACACTGGTGCACATGGTATGAACACTAACTTAACTCTGTTATCTAAAAATACCATTTAAAAGAACACAAGCTATTCACGTCTCAATTTTCACTGAGTTATTCACGTCTCAATTTTCACTGTTACAATTGCAATTTATAACTACATGCATTTTCAAATTTGAAAGATCGCCGATTATCACTAAGGATAGTTTTGTATTTGGAAAAACTTCGTTCCACATCACATGATGTGGCAGGAGCATATTTGTAGAATGTCAAGTTGTTTGATGACAGTTCTGTATCATCTTCGAATGTTGCTAGTTTACCGGAAAGTATATCTGCAATCTTGCATAATGTTGAATAACCAGCATTCCGATGAAGAACACTTTCTATTTTGGTTTTAATCCTGTCACTTATTTCACCACAAGTTC